GTAGTGCACAGGCAAGTTAGGAAGACTGTGGTCTCTGAAAGGGACTGATTAAGTCACTCACAAATGCTTTGTTACTTTGGGCTTATCAAACTGAAAGGATGCCATGTAGATGTAAAGTTAAGGTGTGTTACATCCAGGTTACAAATCAACACAAGCAAAATGAAGAGACAAGAGATTCTGTTCCAATATGAACTGGTGTCTTATGAATCCTTTGATTGATTTAATAAAATGACATGGGGTGTCTGTGTAGGCTGAGTTCAAAGTAGTTGGAGGAATATAAACATAGACAGCGTGTACCCTTACTTGGAACGTTATAGAGAAGATTCAGTTGGTTTGACCTTAAATTTATGATCCTTTGATTTTAGTGGAATGCCTGAGGGCAGATGACGGGAATAAATACAACTGGAACCTCCTGGTGGGGCCTTGTCAGAAGGAGGCTCAAGTATGTTTCGAATGCTTTTTTTGGCTCTATCCATAATTCTCCTCACGGACACAGGTAAGGCCTGAAGAGAGAGAGGAGAGTGATGGAGTACAAGAGGAAGAAGTAACTGTACTTGGCTATGGGGCTGCTGTGAAGTGATTTAAGGTGAATTTCCTTCTCTTCCCAGGAGAAAGAGCGCTGACAATCCCATGTACAGTATATTTGGTTTGCATTTCTTGGAAAAAGATCATACTGCCATGAGAGGAGGAATTCTTCAGCTCTTTCCACATTATCCCTCTCCACTTCTCGCTCTCTACTCCAGAAACTTCTTTCTCTAGTTTTGATTTGTGGATGGGTGGGACGATTCTTGGAGGAGATCACTGTTGTCATTAATAAAATCAAAGGGGAGCAGGAGTGCCAAACTTCCTCTCATGGGGTTTGTACAATCTTGGCTTTATAAAGTAGTTCTTGTCCGTAGCTCTAACCTCTCAAACCTCCCTCTCCTTCAGTGATTAGAATGTGTAATCTATGTTCTAACTTTGATGGAAACAAATGTCTTGATGGCATGAAAAAATGCTGGAAGTTCAACATGTTGTGGTTCAACAGGACCTGTACCACAGAAAACTTTTATTTTTATGACATTTTAACAGGTAAGCAAGTCTTTGACAGACACACACAAAAATGTCACCAATAGTACTCGTGATTTCTGGAGTTAAGGTGCGGAGGGACCTGGGATCCCACAGACAAGAGCATGGGTATCTTTGGTTGAAAGACAGGCATCTTTTGCCTGACTATGGCTAAAGTTACATAGATGAGATGCAGCAGCAGACTTGGGTTCACACTCTTCTTTGGAAAACTGAAAAGGTTCTGGAGGGAGGCATGGTGATGATATTCGCTTTTCTTTCCTTAGGGGCACACATTTTTCGTTATTCAAAACTGTCCTGTAAACCTTGTGCAAGTGGAATGTTTCAAGTATACCATGACCTTATGAGAGAAACATTTTGCTGTACTGACAGGAGCTACTGTAATGATGGCATCAATCGCTTAGAAATGTCCTCATTGTATTTTGAGGATCGAAAGGTGCAGAGAGAGTTGAATGACTGACAATAAAAAATACCTTAAATTAAATTTAAACAGCCTGTGTCTGTGTAGTATTGGCACTTATAAAAAACCAAGCCCCATACTTCTCTCTATGCCAGTAAATATTCCCACGCAAATCCAGTCTTATGGGTGTTTGTGTTTCACTTAACAAGAAAGGGAAAAGCAGTATTATCTCAGATAGAGCAGTAGTGTCCTCTTTGGTTTCATCATTGTGATCTTATTTGTTTCTACCATGTTATATTTATGTAAGTAGAATAACATATATAAATCAAAAAATAACTTTCAAAACACTTGAAGTGTCAGTAAGAGAGGATTTGTCCAAATCTTACAATAATAAGATAGAGATTAGAGTTTAACTTCAGGTGGAAAATATGGCAGATTCCTCTATTGGGGTGTGGCTAATTAGTTCATGTGGACAGAATGGAGATACTGGCAGGAAGGTCTCAAGATGAAATGATTCCCAATGATCCCAGCAAGCAAAAATCATGTTAAAAGAGAAACTAAGAGAAAGGTTCAAAATAGAGAAGAAGCAGGAAGTAGATGTGATGAGGGTGAGTGACAGCGGGAGGAGAGAGAGACCCCGAGGGAGACAGAGCAGGATTGGACAGCCACACACAGCCAAGCGTGAACTGAAGACCATCAGCCTTTGGCAGAGCAGAGTCATATCCCTCCATGTGGTCCTCCAGGTCTGCCTTCCTGAACTCTGACCCTGTCCTGGATTTCCATGAGATTCTGACTCTCATGTTGCCTCGTGTTAAAATTATTTCCTTCTGCCATTTTGGTCTAGTTACAATAAACCTGTTCAAAACATTTTACAAATGACAAAAACCAAGCAAGATGTAGAGGCAATGGTCAAGAAGGCCAGGTCCTGAGCAAATGTGGTAGCTCTGGATTGAAGTCTCAAATGCCTTTCTTGGCCAAACATCTCTGGACTGATGATGGACCTGCAGTGCCAAAACTATTGATCATACAGGGAAGACAAACATATTAGAAATCATTTCAGAAAACTGGGTCCTAATTTATAGGAACTGATATCACAATATCCTTAGACAGAAAAATAGTCCAAGCAGTGGTGGCACACACCTTTAATCCCAGCACTTGGGAGGCAGAGGCAGGTGAATCTCTGTGAGTTCAAGGCCAGCTTGGTCTACATAGTGAGTTCCAGGAAAGGCACAAAGCTATACAGAGAAACCCTGTCTTGAAAAACCAAAAAAAAAAAAAATAGATCCACAAATGCCCACAATGCAAATTTATTGGGGATTTACTGGCTGAAATAAAGTCCTAGATGCTAGCAAGACAAGTGGATTCCAATGATTTGGTTCATAAGGAAGGGGCATGACAAATGTGATTTTATCTAAATCTTAGATTGTATATGTGTGTGCACCTGTGTGTGTGCATGTGTGTGTGTGTGTGTGTGTGTGGGTGTGTGTGTGTACTTCAGGCATATCAAGTATATTATTCAGGCCAGCATTGGTGGCACTAATGTCTGGATGATAAAACTCCACAGAACATCCATGTCTTCATTTATTTATAAAATAGTGGGAAATTCTCAATGGAAAATCAAGTAGGATTATTCAGGGACAGTCATGGTAGTGACGTCTCAAGACCATAGCAGTCCTGTCAAACTGAATAACATAGAACTGTAGCCCTGAAGTAATATTAACACAAGAAAGAATATAGCTTCATTTAGGTAAACTGACATAAAAGCTTAGAAATCAAATAAAATATGTTTATTTACTGATTAATTTAAAAGTAGACCTCAGACCCCCAAACAACACAGGGTATTTCCATTGCTCTCAACCCACCACTCAGACCTGATGGCGTCACTGTATTGTTGAAGACACTGCACACTTTGGTCACAGAACACAGAGAAATCAAGCTGATGCTCAGCTGGAGGCTTCCTCGCTATGGATAGCTTTCCCGGAGCTGGAAAGTGTTTTACACAATGCTGGGAGAGAGAAATCATCAACAATTTTGCTCAGCTGTGAACTCCAAGAGATACAATAATAGCTGGTATGGATATGCCATATGGTACAGAGATATGCCTACTGGTACAAGAGTTTTAAATGGTATGGGGTAGCCAATCACTTTGAGTGCATTTTAAGACCTACCCGGAAAGATGGAACACTGCCTGGTACTATTACCTGGGCTGAGAACCCATGACTCAGTAAGTCATAAGCTATAGAGGAAAATCTACCACTATGTGTTGTTAGTAGACATAATAATAAACCACTTTCTAAATAACTATCTTGAAAAAAAATCTATTGATTTATTCATGTATTTCATGTTTATGTGTGTTTGCCTGAATGAGTTTATATGCATCACATACACCAGAAGAGGGCATCACATCATCTGGAACTATATTTACAGGTGGTTGTGAACTACCACATAGGTGTTGGGAACAAATTCATTGTGGCTGTGGTATATTCACAAAACCTACATCAAGCCATTCAGATTTCCACTATGGATGGAGAAGGGACTTGTGTAGTCCTGTCCCTAGCTGAGGAAGTATTGGTAATTGATGACTGCTGAGCAAGGGAATATCAGTTTTCTTTGGGAATGTGGATCTGGCAGGTTGTCCATGCTCCAGTGGATGTCCCTATCCCCACACACATATCAACATCATTAACTGAACTCAGTAGTTTAAAAAAAAAGAGTAAATGAAGTTAGGAGGGAAATGTGGTGTGGAGGGGCATATCAGACAGAGGCTGGAGAGAGACGAGAGGGTGGATTTGATCAAATCACATTACATACATGCCACAAATTCTAAAGAATAAAAACATGTTTTTAAAGAAAGACATGAGTGATTTCAAGTGACCTTCCTTTTTATGAACAGAACTTAGCAGTTTGGATGTTCACCAATAGTATGTGCACTCCAGTTTTCTGTGCCTTGTGTGATGTGTGATGTTGTCAGACTTCTCAGTGCTTAGGAGCCCGAGATGTAGAAAATCAACCCGGTCTCTTGCTTTCGTGTTTGCGCTGGTCTTGTCTAAGAACTGGCTATCATTGTGTGGGCCTTTGCATTCTCTTCCTTTAACTAGTCTCTTCATCCTTTGTTTTTATGTGCATGTGTGTTTGAGGGTTATTATTTCCCAACTGACTTATAGGAACAATTTATACTTAAAATAATTGAACCCCTTTGGATAGCTTGTTTTTAAAAAGAATGGCTTCATAAAAACTCATGAACTTTAGACCAAGAGCTGTGGAACCTGCCTGCAACTGGATTAGGCCTTCTGTAGATAGGAGACAGGGGCCCCTGGCAGTGGGGTCAGGATCCATCCCTGCTGCGTGTGCTGGCTTTCTGGAGCCCATTGCCTATGGTGAGATGCCGGCCTTGTTCAGCTTTGGTGCAGGGGGAGGGCTTGGTCCTGTCTCAATTGAATGTACTAGGCTTTGCTGGATGGGTGTGGGTCAGGAGGAAGGCTGTTGGGCTGGGGGAGCGGGAGGAGTGATAAGTGGGGGATCTGTGGAAAATGAATAAAAAATTTATTAAATAAAAAAAACCCAGCTTCTTTAAGGTCTCTATTATTGGAATGTGGCAGGTGGGAGAGTTAAAGTTGGAAATGTTTATGTTTTTGGTCTGTACAAAGTGCTGGTGAGCCTGGAGCTCTCAAAGTTCATCTGGTCAACAGGGCTGCCACTAGTTTAGGAACCTCTCTTCTTTTCAAATCATGCTATTTTCTCATGCTCACCAGCTTGGAACAGCTTGGTGAAATAACTAAAATGTAGTTTTCATTTTCAGTGTATACAACGCCTGCTGTCATTGTGGGGTCATGGAATTAGATGAAAACTTAAAGTATCTGTTTCTTCACTTTCACCCAGCACCTCATCATGGACAGCCTCATATTACCCGGTACATTCAAGGATGCTTCTTGAATTTTCTTCCTAAGAACACCTCTCTTTGTGTGTGGACATATGCCCAGCTTAAAAACAAAGCAGTATCTGTGTGTTTCTGTAACAAATAGTGACCTGCCTTGACATTAGGCCACATCATAGATAAAATGCACCATACTAAAAATCACCATTTAGCACAATTCGAGAGTAAAATGTCAGTCCAACAGTGTGCCTACTGTAGTTGTAACAACCATTTTCTTTTCTTTTGACTGGTTAAGCAAAACAAAACAATGTTTTACCTCCTTTGTACTTACTGAAAATTTTAATTATAATATTGAACTGGTATGGATTAATAGAGCTACAGTTTTACTTTAAAAATTCACAAGCTGAGTTCCACTTAATCTATTACTCTTTTATTTTATTGAAATGTGTAATTAACTGAAGAAGAGAATTGTCTTGCAAACTCGAAGTATATTTTCTAATTTAGACTAAATTAGTATTTCGTGTACATCTGAATATTTCTTTATATTTGTCATGACAATATTTACACCTATTTGCTATATTGGACAAATAAACTATCCTTTCAAACAAACAAATGAACAAGAGATGTTTCCTAAAGACAAGACAGAAAAGAAGCACCAACTAAAAAATACATTTAAAAAGTTAGCCATAGATATGAAATATATTAGTGTTTTAAAAGTTTAAATGCAATGAAAATGTTTTATATGAGATACAATTTTAGATAGTTTAGATAATTTAGATAGACCACAATAGTGGTCTCAAGTAAAGGACTGTTTAAAGAATGGAGGTAGAGAAAATGAGAACAACCAGAAGCTTAATCATGTTACAGAAGTACTGAGTAAATTCTTAAAAGTCTCTGGAAAATAAAACTTAAAGATGGTGTATGCATAACTAAGTTTACTACAATTAAAGTTACTTTTGCTGGGGTCAGATTTTTGCCAGGAACATATTTCATCATTCATCTGCTCTAGACAAAAGGACCCATGGAAATCCCAGATATTCAAGTAGTTTTTGTATTTCTATTTGGGGGTTTTCGATAACAAGAATAAACGTGTACAGTCTCATAGTCTCAATACAGAGGAAATGATTAACAGACTAAAGAACAAACACAGTGGTGACCTAAACCCTGAGAATCTTTTCCCTAGCAGATT